GCGGGAACGAGCGACAAGCGGACGTGGGTAGTCGGAGGAAAAGACGCCAACGCAGATCCCAAGGAGTTCAACCTGGTTCAAAATACCGGACTACGTCGCTCCTTCACCAATGGCAGCATGACCGCGCAACCGGCCCGCTCCAACACCTCAAACTCCCTCGGCGCGATCAAAGAGACCAACGGCGCGCCGCCCCAAAACGGCTCCGCGGCGAACGATCTCCAGGGCCTCGACACCAGCGTCGACACGCAGAAGACGCTCAAGAGCGCGGCGCCCAACTTCGCCAGCGCCGCGCACCTCAGCCCAGACTGGGAGCCCGGCTACAACCGGATGCTGCTGTCGAGCTCGGGCGTGCTATACGAGGACGCGCAGATCCAAGTTGGGTTGCGTACTGAGTACCGCGCCGCGCTGGGGTGCGTCATTTTGTACTTTACCAACAAGTCGTCGACAACCATAGGCTCCTTCACCACCACCTTGGACAACCGGGCCCCGGACGCGCTCAAGACGGACATCAAGGGCCTTCCGGAGACGTCCATACCGCCCGACGCCCAGACGTCACAGATGATCATGTTCGAGGCCAAGGGCATCTTCTCCGACCCGCCCACGATGCGCATATCCTACCTTGCCGGCGCCCTCCAGGCGCTCACCCTCCAACTACCCGTCGCGCTGCACAAGTACATGGACGCCACGAGCCTCGGCGCCGATGACTTCTTCCGCCGCTGGCGCCAGATTGGCGGCGAGCCGCGCGAGGCGCAGCGCATCTTCGGGCTCAAGGGGAGCGGCCGCAAGACGAACATTTCGACAACGAGGAAGGTGGTCGAGGGCTTCAAGTGGGGGGTCTTGGATGGCGTGGATCAGAACGCGAAGAACGTCGTCGGCGCCGCGGTGCTGCATACGACCGAGAGCAAGTATGGGTGTCTGCTGAGGCTTGAGCCGAACTTTGAGACGAATGTGAGTACCAAGGATAATTTTTTTTTTCTGCATAGGTTGGTGTAGAGGAATGTATTTCTAACTCGTGATGTCCTAGATGTATCGGCTCACGATTCGCGCCACGGACGAGAGCGTTCCTCCCGTGTTGATGAAGTTCATGGAGGAGCAGCTTTCGCTAGGAGACACCAGCTGAGCGACACACGCCAGTCATCTGCTTTGACGGCTGAGCTTGTACCTTTTGTCTGGGCGGCGTGCGGCTCGAGGCGCTGGAATGTATAGATGATTGTTGTTGACGGGATTGCTGTCACCGACTGCATATTATTACGTGCTTTGAGCGTGTGTGTGCGTGTGTGGCCTGGAAGTAGCAACGGTTTTTGTCTTTATTACTTTCTCTGGTCCGTCCCATTGGAACAATAACACCCCCTCATGGCAAAAGGCGTTGCTTTTCCCCCTTTGCTTTTGGGTATCCTCGTCAGACACTCTGTGAATATGTAATTGGGACAAGAAAGCTTTGAGAAGCGTATTTGGTGACTTGAATATATTCCTTTGCAATCGTTCAGACGAATATGCAGGGTGTCTATATTAACACTCGTTGCAATACGCCTCAGCCATGAACGCTAAAGGATGTCCATTACACTATACAAATGTTTCATCTCCTCATCAAAGCCTCCTATACCAACAACCTCACCCTTTACTCTCGTCAAAGATCTTAGCCTCCCCCTTCGGCGGCCTTTCGCCAAAAATGGTGCTCCCCACCCTCACCTCATCACTCCCCATCCGAATCGCAGCCTCGTAATCCGCGCTCATGCCCATACTCAACTCAAGCTCCTCCTTGTCCAGCCCCAGCTCGGCCGCCACCTTGTCCCTCGTCTCCTTGAGCAGGGCAAGGTCCTCATTCTCAGTCTCCGGCGTCGTGGCTGCCGACCGCGCGATCGCTCCGATCGTCATGAGCCCCTGCAGCCTCAAGTGCGGACAGGAGTCGCGCACGTGCGCGCATAGGGCGGCCGTCTCCGCGGGGGCCACGCCGGCCTTCTGCTCCTCGCCCGACGTGTTGACCTGGATCATGACGCGCAGGGGCTCCAGGTGGTCGCGCGGCCCGGGCGCGCCTTCGTCCCGCCGCAGCCGCTCCGCCAGCGCGCGCCGCCCCTTCTCCAGCCCGTCGGCCTTCCTCCCGCTGTCGACGCTCTCGACGCACCACAGCCCGCGCACCCCTTCCGCCAGCCCCTTGCACTTGTTGCTCTGCAGCCCGCCGATGAAGTGCCAGCGCACGCTCGGCGGCAGCGCGGCCGCCTTGGCCGCCAGCTCCTGGACGTAGTTCTCGCCGAAATGGAGCTGCGGCGGGGCAGGCTGGGTGTGCAGGGCGAGGATGTCGGAGGCGGGCTTGAGCTTCGAGACGGCGACGAGGCGGACAGGCTTGGTCGGGGTCGAGGAGGCGGAGACGGCGGCGGCGACGGTGCTGCGGACGGAGGTCAGGTTCGCGATGAGCGTGGAGGTGCGGGCGGTGGAGGGGAGCATGACGGATTCGTGGGCTGACGGCGAGGCGGAGGAAGGCTCCGAATTGGCCATTATCCTGGCGGGCGAGGGATGCCGTTCGAGAATGGGTCGAGAGCGCAACGAGGATCGTGGGAGGGCGCTGTGGTGGGGCTGGGGTTGTGGAATGACTCGTTTGTCGAGGGTGAGCGCCATCTAATCTTATCACTTTAGCTGATGGAGCGAGATTTGGCTGTCTTTTTGCTCCCGGCTAGTGCCCGTTGTCTCAGATGCTAGTGCGCAGGGAATCGCACGCACACACGCCCAGCAACCGCTCCTACATACCGAAATCGTGTCGAGCCGCTTGCTACAGCGATCTGTTGAGAGCCCTAAGGTATTCAGAGGCTATACCAATTCCCGATCCTTTACCAGAGCCGGGCGGACTTAACTAGTCGTTCTTCATAGCTCTTCTAGCAGCGCGCACGGCTGAACGGATCTCCGCCCAGCGAACACGCACAAAATTTCGCCTGCGAGCCTGGGCAATTTTCTGTACATGTACCGCCTTCCCGCCGGTGGTTTGAGGCCCGGCAACGAGACGACAAACAACATGTCGACTGCAAAGAAGCGGAAGCTCAACAGCGCTGGCGCGCATGCAGAGAAGAAACCGAAGCCCTACCCTCCGCCGAAGCGTCCCGCGAGGGAGCCCTCCACGCCCGACGATAGCGCACCGGCCGTAGCTCCGCCGGCCGCGACTCGACATGCGGAGCCGCCAGCCGGCGATGCCGCGGAAGCGCAGCCGCAGTCGAAGAAGTCGTTCCGCGACCTCGGCGTGATCGAGCAGCTATGCGAGGCGTGCGAGCAGATGGGCTACAAGGAGCCGACGGCGATCCAGCGCGAGGCCATCCCTCTGGCGCTCGAGGGCCGCGACATCATCGGCATCGCGGAGACCGGGTCGGGCAAGACGGCCGCGTACGCGCTGCCGATTCTGCAAGCTCTCATGGCGAAGCCGCAGCCGCTGCACACGCTCGTGTTGGCGCCGACGCGCGAGCTCGCATACCAAATCAGCGACGCCGTCACGGCACTGGGCTCCCTCATCGCGGCGCGCTCCGCCGTGCTGGTCGGCGGCATGGACATGGTGTCGCAGGCGATCGCGCTGGGCAAGAAGCCGCACGTCGTGGTGGCGACGCCCGGCCGTCTGCTGGACCACCTGGAGAACACGAAGGGGTTTTCGCTCAGGCATCTCAAGTACCTCGTCCTGGACGAGGCGGACCGGCTCCTCGACTTGGCCTTCGGTCCCGTTATCGACAAGATTCTACGCGTCCTGCCACCGAGCCTGCCGCCTGGATCGACGGATCCGAATGGGCGGCACACGGCCCTGTACTCGGCGACGCTATCGTCCGAGGTCGCCTCGCTCCAGCGCGCCTCGCTCCGCTCCCCGGTCAAAGTCGACATTTCCACGCCGCAGCCCGCGTTCGCCTCCGCATCCGCCTCCAACCCGCGCTCGCGCCTCGCTCCGCCCGCCCTCCTCCGCCAGTCCTTCCTCCTCGTGCCCCACAAGCACAAGGACCTCTACCTCACCTACCTCGTCTCGGCCGTCCTCCCGGGCGCCCGCGCCATCGTCTTCGTCCGCACCGTCGCCGAGACCCTGCGCCTCGCCTGCCTGCTGCGCGCCCTCGGCGTCCCCGCCACCGCCATCAACGGCCAAATGTCGCAGGCCGCGCGCCTCGGCGCCCTGAACCGCTTCAAGGCCAGCCTGAGCCGCACCACGGGCGGCGGCGGCCTCGACGCCTCCGCCGCCGCCGCCGGACCGCCGCCCGCCGAAGCCGCCGGGAACGCCCCCGGCCGCTCCCTCCTCGTCGCCACCGACGTCGCTGCCCGCGGCCTCGACATCCCCGCCGTTGACGCCGTCCTCAACTACGACCTGCCGGGCGACTCGGCGACGTACGTGCACCGCGTGGGCCGCACTGCACGCGCCGGCCGCGGCGGCCGCGCCATCTCCCTCGTCTGCCAGTACGACGTCGAGGTGTGGCAGCGCATCGAGGCCGCGCTGGGGAAGCAGGTGCCCGAGGAGGAGAGCTGCGTGAAGGAGGAGGTGTTGGTGTTGGGGGAGCGCGTGGGCGAGGCGCAGAGGATTGCGGTGAGGGAGGTTAGGAGTTTGCAGGAGAAGGGCGCAGGAGCGAGAAAGAGGAGAAGAGAGAGGGAGGCGAGAGATGAGATGGATAGGGAAGAGAGGTAAGGTGGCTTTAGTGGTGGTATGCGGAACGGACGGCGGTTATAATGATTCGGTTCGTCAACGGAGTGCGGCAGTTGTACGGGATTATGTCAAGTAGCGTAGTGTTGTTTGAGCTGTATGGATCCCGAGACATGCGTACTCTTTTGTACGTCAAGATGGTTGTAGAAACTGCGAGGACGATGTTGTCCCGAGAATTGAAGCATCTCTATTCTGTCCGACGTACACAGTGCATCTGTTGCGGGTTCCTCCGGTTGTATGGTGAGCCCGAAAGTTTCACATGTGACTCAAAGACAAAATATAGGGAAATCCAACTACAGCCGGTAGCCACATCACTGAAATTTGGCGCCAGCAAAATTTTTGCAAAATAAAGAGCCCGATGCGAGGGTCGAACTCGCAACCTTAAGATTGCTAGCAATCGCTAAGAGTCTTACGCTCTGCCAATTGAGCTAACCGGGCGTGTGTCAATTGTTGGAGCACTCTCGCTCAAAATAGTATATATTTAAAAAAATAATAGTACAGGAACGCTCTCAGTTCCCCATGCGCATCCCTTGCATCGAACGGCTCAACCTTGCATGCGGCACAGCTCAGCGGGACAGCTCAACTGCAGCCTGCCATCCACGTCGCACGTACGCTCATTTCAAGAAGCTCTACTGAATGCGCCGGCCTTTGTGACTGCAATACGTATACTCCATTGTCTGTTTCACTCTCTCAACGCCCTCTCTACACTCAACGCTTTAGTGACTACTTAATCCGGGGCGCTCGAGGCGTTGCTTCAGTGCGTCCGTCGAAAAGCTGATTGAAGAAAAAATAGCATTCCGTATGCTTGCACCGTCCTCATCGAATCAACCAGTCATTTTCACTCGTCCACTCGGCTCATCGCAGTTACCCAGTAAGAGCAACGCTTAACTTATTATTTTCGTGCCACCGTCGGCGCCCTTTAGTAACAGGACTCCCCAACAAAAGCCGCCCCCAGGAAGAATGAACACAGCCCCGCCACGAGTGCCACCATGGATGCGCGGGGAGCTGGACTGCCACCTCCTCCGCCTTCCGACCGAGCTCCGCTTCTACATCTTCCGGCTCGTGTTCGAGGACTTCGACTCGCACTCGTTCGATGGCTTCCCGCCCGGCTTCGTCATCGTACGGTACGACAGCGACTGGAAGAAGACGCTGGCCGACTGGCCATCGAGCTGTAGCTGGGGCACCCGCCGCATGTCCCGCCTGCTGGAGCTCAACCGCCAGCTGCATCTCGAGGTCGAGTCAGTGCTCTACTCGCACCTCACCCACGTCTTCTTCCTGTCCAAGCACGCCTACATCACGGCTAGCATGTTCCGTCAGTTCTTGCGCCACCGCAGCTCGCGCGTCCCCGGCCTCATCCGCCGCGTTGTCGTCCCCGTCAGGCTGCGGCGCCACGACGACGGCTTCTGCAATGTGGCCGCCTTGGAAGACACGGAGAATGCGTTTAGGGCCATGAGGGAGGGCCTGCCCAACTTATCCTCTGTGGCACTGCACGTGACTACCAATATTCCTGTCAAGAATCGAGACCAAGCCTTGTGCCTCGTTGACCAGATCTTGGCCCTGGCAAAGGTCTTTCGTGGGGCTGGAGGAGTCAAGGAGGTATCCCTTCTGTCCTATGACCGCGAGCAAGAAGATGCCCCTGCCGCTAGGCTTGTCTACGAAGCTAGCTTGCGTGGAGACTTACCTTGCAAGTTCATTGATGAACGCATCGCTCCAAGTCGCCAGCAGAATGGAAGGCTAGAAGGCTACTTCCGCTCGGAGCGACGGCACTTTATTGAGTGGAATGAAGGGTGACGGCTTGAAAAGCAATGATTACATGACCAGTCGTTCTCTTTTCTCTTTAGAAGGCTTCGGGTTGGGCTATATGCATATAAAAACGGGGTGGCTTCGCGCGATGAACTTCTCACGTATTTCTTTAGGCCTGTCGACGCTACCATGCTTACCCAGGCGCACATTGATGAAGAGGCTCTAGTAAATTGCTCTGGTTATACCTACGATTTTTTATGTCAAGGATTGGATGGATGATACATTGTGGGGACCGACAGTGCTCCATTTTCGGTTTGGGTTCAAGTCAAAATATTACCGTTAGTTCTCTTTAGGAGGTCACTTCTTGCTCGGTACAGTCTTACCTCACTTCACTTGCCGGAGTGAGTAGTCAATCCTGGCTTTGAGTCATCGCCCGCTCTAGAGCTCCTTATTTCTAGCCACTTTCCTTTCTCAATCTCGGCCACCAGCAAAACTCCCTTTTGTTTCTAGCCAAAACGGGCGGGTTAACTTTTTCGGTTTGATATGTACTGCAGCAAAGAATAAATTAGACCGGCACTCTCATCAACCTCGAAAATGGCCACTCCGCGTTCTTTTTCCAACTTGCCGGCAGAATTGCAAGGCCAAGTGTTCTTCCTCCATTTTATGTACAATTATGACGATTGGCATGGGTTTTCATGGCCAAGATCTTTTATAACTCTTATGAGGAACTGCCAGTACAAACACTTGCGAGGAAGAAGCTCCGGCTTCAACAATAATATTACGAATGCGCTATACCTCAACCATAACCTGCATCGAGTCGCAGAACAGGCGCTTTGCTCCAGAATGACATTCAGGATCTGTATGCAATGCACAGGGCCAAAGCTCGACAACTTCCTCGCCAGCGTCAGGTGGCTCAGACGCCACGAATTTGGCGAAGGCTTCGTACGTCTCGTTCGGAAAGTCGTCATTTGCGTTACTGTTCACGACCATACGCCGGTCACGTATTGCCAGGGAATTCGAGACTTCTTTCCAGATCTCGCAGACGTTTATATAGGCTTCTGCGATAGCTACAATGGGCCGTCTCCTTCTAGACTCTACGGCCCTTACGCCGAGCGGCTACGCAGGTTCGCCAAAGTTTTCCACGACTTACCACCCGAGAAACGAAGACCGAGACTTAAATTTCTTTGCCATGCCAAGGCTAGCTCGTCTTACGATGGCAGAGTCAAGCTTTTCCGACGAGCGGCTTTAATCGCAAAGATTCCTCTCGAATTAGTCATTGAAAAGAACCCAGGCCGCCGTATAATAGTCCCAGATTCCGTGACCGATCAGGCGCTAGGGATCAAAAGACGGACTAAATTATACGAAGAGGCTAACTAGGGGTGCGATTTTACGTAAGTTGGCTCTCTACCATCTGAGGTACGGCAGGGCGTGCGTGGAAGTTGGAGCATACAATTTAGCAATATTATACGGCAGCTTCCTGAGAGTTAAGGATATGCGTACAATGTTGAGGGGGGCGAAGTGTAGTACATTCGGGTAAAAGATATTACTTAATTTGAAATTTCTTTTTCAGCAACGAGACAGGTTAATAGAAAATATAAAATTTCGATACTCAGTATTTTGTGGGACTGTCGGATCCTGTCAGATAGGGTTAGCTTACGATACATGATAGGAGGGCTGTGGTTGTATAAGTCTATGTCCTTAGATCGCACTAGATTCCAATGTCAAAGGCTTAGCCCGTCCGCTCTGGACTCTCTTAGGAATGAAACATTCTTACGCTTCCAGTGAGTTGTTGATACTTCGTATATTGCCACCACAATTACACATCACACTGCTGCGTCCTCTTTCAGTAGTAAGGGGCAAAATAATGGCGGGTATTGAACAGTTAACCGATGCACATTCCTCCGTGAAAATCACCGCAAGGTCCTAAAAACGCCTTCTGTCCCACGCAAATTTCCTGGACGCCTTCCGCGTAGGACATAACAGATAAATAGAAGGAAATCCACGGCTCGAAATTCGAAACTACCAAGTTGCCTTACTCATCGTCCAAGATGGAGCTCGCCAAAGGTCCGAAGAAGGGCACCTCACAGCGGTCAAGCGTATCCGCTGATAGAAATTAGCTCCAAATCCTAAACTGAGGTTTACTTTTCAATATACGTACCATCGCGGTATGCGCGATAAACCAACCAAGCAATGAGCACCAGGTCAATCACAAAGAGTAGCCAGGAAATGACGGAGCTCCAGCTGAAAATGACGTGGACGATCTATGACAAACCGATCAGCAAATCCCATCAAGTGGATCGGGAGCAGGGCACATACAAACATGAATGTAAAGAGGAGACTCGACTGCCACGCATGAAATCTGTCGGCGTAAAGCATATTAGCATTTGGCTCGATTTCCCCAATCCCCGCTCTAAGCAGCGTATACAATCGAATGGTCGCCCAACTAACCTCACATAATCACTCCGGTGCTCCAACACCAACAATAACACCCCGCCAGCCGGCGGCAACAGCAAGTATGCCAGACAGGCTTCGTAATCCATCCTTATCCCCAACCTCGTCTCGAAAACATCCACGTCCTCCCTCGGTCCTCCAAAACCCCCGATACTACCACCGCGTCCGCCATCCCCCCCTCCGCCTCCACCAGCCCACCCGCTTCCATCCCCACCAAAGTATGGATTTCCTCCCCCGCCGCCACCGCCGGAATGCGGCGCCGGCGACGCCATGGCCGCGGTACCGATGTTGGCCGAGCGCGGCGGGTTGACCGAGGGGCGCGGTGAGGTGCGGGGAGAGGTCGGCGGCGGCGGGGACAGGGCCCGATTGCGCTCCGGAGAGGCGTCTTGGTAGGGTGCGAAGTCCATATCGAGGGTCCGGAAGGGGCGTCCAGGCTGCCGCGGCGCTCGAGGGGACGCGTGTCGTTTGCTGCGAACGGCGGAGGTGAGACCTGCCGGATAGGCTCAATGGAACAGGCTGGAAAGGCCGCTGTGGACCGGAGCCAATGAGTTAGGAGCGTAGTATTTCTCCGGTAGGATTGTTGCTTGATGAGATTCGAACGCGTCGCAAGAGTGGACGATCGAACGGAGGTGGTTGGGGGACACTGATGGCAAGATGTCAGCTTGCAGGCAGTAGCGTCTCGGTATGGGGCTGTGTGGGGGCCGTGGCTGCTCCGACGGGCGCAATGCACTGATGCACATGTGGCGTTACCGGCTCCGCAAGTCCCTTGGCGGTGCTGGACGTCAATTCCACAGTCGAATCCCATGTGCCCGCTGCAAAGGAAACACATTCCCAGTATAGGCTTTAGTTTGAATCGCATTTCTGCTCAGGGGCTTTTGGCAGTCACTAAGATATGTTTGCTGTATTGCTATGTGCACACCACGTGTTTCTTCTGTCTACCAATCAGAGCTCCACTTCTACTCCATCCGTTAGATCATACGGGCCTAAAATGCACACGACATGGACTCGAGAAGGAAAGAAAGACAGCATGTCGCGGATAGTACAGAAGTACTTCTTCATTTCACCAAGCCAGTACGATTCCAAATTCAGCATTCCAGATACTAAAGAGGCTCTTTCGCCACCGGTTTGAAGGAGTCGTCCTTTCCTTGAGCTTAGTGAAGAGACTGGCTGGAAAACAAGCCCGTGGCAACTTAGCGTGATGATAGCTACGAGATACTTCGTCCTCATAATGCGAATGCTCACCT